AAAAAAAAAAAAAAAAAAATCAATGGAAAAACTATCCTTGGGTGAGTTCTGGGTGAGCCTGAGATAGTCTTGTGCCAGAAAGCAAGAAATCTTGTTTGCAAAAACTAAGGGACTATCATATGACCCAGAAGAAATGAAAACTTGTATCCACATAAAATCTATATGCTAATGTTTATAGCAGCTGTATTCACACCCGCCTCAAACTGGAAACAACCCAAATGTTCATCAACTGGTGAATGGATAAATAATGCGGTACATTCATAAAAGTGAATACTACACAGCAACAAAAAGGAAGGAACCTACAACACACCACAACATCAATTAATCTCAGAAACACCAGGCTAAGTAAAAGAAGCGAAACTCAAAAGGATGCATATGGTATACATAAGGATGGAAATAAGACCAGAAGTTCTCAGAGGCTAAGGGTGGAGAAGGGATTGATTACAAAGAAGCATGAGAAAGCTTTTTGGGGTGATGGAAATACTCTATATGTTGGCTGTGATAGCTACATGACTGTGCATTTTTAAAAAATTTTTAAATTTGTTTTTTAATCCTCATTGGAGAATATTTTTTTCATTGCTTTTCAGAGAGAGTGGAAGGGAGAGGGGGGTGGAGAGAGAGAGAGAGAGAGAGAGAGAGAGAGAGAGAGAGAGAAACACTGATGTGAGAGAGACACATGGATTGGTTGCCTCCCGCACTCGCCCTGACCGGGCCTGGGAATCAAGCCTGCAACTGAGGAATGTGCCCCCGACCAGAATCAGACCTGGGACCCTTCGGTCCACAGACCGACACTCTAACCATTGAGTGAAACTGGCTAGGGTAGCTGTGTGCATCTTTAAACACTCATAGAACTGTGCATCTACAAAGGATGAATGTTGTACATGTAAATATTCTTTACTAAACCTAAACTAACTAATGAGGTAACAGGAGCTTGAACCAGCTCCCACTGGCCAATTTTAAACAATTTGAACATCAAGAAGAATGATAACAGCAATGGATATGAAACACATTAGGTTTAAGTATCCCTAGGTCCAGAGTGATACTAATTATAGCAAGAAACTACCCCTTGAAATGGTGAGAGCTTGCAGTCACCACCTTACCTAAGGGATCAAACCTGACATCATCAATAGTGGGATAAACTGTATGATGTGCCTCCTGAGGCAACGTGATGACAAGTACACACGTCCCCTATGCGAGATTCTTACTTAAAAAAAAAAAAAAGTTTAGCTTGAATCTAACCATGGAGAAACACCAATGAGCTAAATCCAGAATAGGATATAATCTAAACAATGGACTCCGCAAAGGCTCAATATGAGGAAAAAATGGTTAAATATATAAAAAAGGGGAAAGATTGTTCTAGATGTAAAGAAATAACCAAATGCAATGTATGACCCTTGACTGGATCCTAAATTAGATAAAAGTTATAAAAGACATTTTTGGGATGGGGGAATTTAGGTAGGGACTGTATCTTGGGTGATATAAAATTGTTGTCAAATTTCTTAGGAGTGATAATGGTGCTGTGATTATGTAGGACAATGAGCCTGTTCTCAGGTGGTACGTGGTGGAGTATCTGAGCATGAAACGCCACGGTGTTTGCATCTTGGAGGGAAGCGGGGAGGGAGGAGAGACAGAGAAAAGAAAGAAAATGTGGCAAAGTTCCACCAACTAATGAAGATTTTAGGGTATATGGGTATTCATTATATAGTTTTCAACTTCATTGTAGATTTGGAAGTTTTAAAATAAAAATTGGGGAGACATTAAAGATGGTAGCGGACTGAGTGGAAACTACACTGACACTCTCCTGGGACCAAACTGGAATTATAACTAAAATATACAAAAACCATCCTGAATAATCAACTGCAACTGAAGATGAGCTGGGGATATCTGTAATACTTTCAACAATAAAGATAAATCATAAATAATAAAAATTGGTAGGGGATATTAAAATTAAAATAGGAATGCTTAGACTTCACCTCAGACCTGTGGAATCAGAATCCACGATGGTGGGGTCAGGGAATTTATTTTTTAAAAGCACTTAAAGTGAATGCCAAGTGTACATCAACAGATGAACAGGTAAACAAAATATGATATACATGCAGTGGAATATTATTCAGCCATAAAAAAGAACGAACTTCTGCTACCCATGGATGAACCTTGAAAACATTATGCTAAGTGAAATAGGCCAGCAGAAAGAATAAACACTGTGTGATTCTACCTACACAAAGTACCTAAAAGAAGCAAGTTTATAGACACAGAAAGTAGAGGTTACCTGGGGCTAGGGGGATGAGGAACGGTGAGTTATTGCTTAATGGGTACACAGTTTTTGAAGTGATGAAAGGGTTTGGAAATAGCGGTGATGCAACAATCACAACATTGTGAATGTAATTAATGCCAATACTTAAAATGGTTAAAATGGCAAATTTTGTGTTACATATATTTTACCACAAATTAAAAAAAAAAAAAAAGAATGTAATATATTGGATACCATTGAATTGTACCCTGTACATGGGTATATTGCATGGTATTGAATTATATCTTGCTTGATAAAGCTCTTCAAAAAAAAATCTGCCCACAAAATGTCAAAATCCATACCTTTTTAAGTGAAAGATCATTATTTTGGGTGCTTTGGAAATACTGGCCCTCACAGCCGCTTCTTGCTTAGTTTCACAGAAGGAACAGTGAATCTGGTTGTTCCAGGTCAGTGTGTCTTGTTGGAAAAAACACTGGAGACAGTCCTGTCGAGATAAAAAGCTTTGGGTGACCAAACTGGGTCAACTGCAACCCAGACCGTTTCCACTAGAACTTGGGAAGGGCTTTGTAACTGTAACGCTGGCTTCCCTTCTTAGTGTCAGCAGGCTCAGGAAACGCCAGTGTCACAAGCTGCAGCCTGGAGAGGTGCAAAATCTACCTGCAAAGCAGGTGCTTCCTTCTCACTTCAGTCACTGAAAAGGATCCAAGTCCTCACCTCCCTTCTAATCTCTTAATCAGCATGTTAATGTTTCTGATTTACTTCAGAATAATATTGGCTGTGAAGGTTCCTCTAACCGGTCAGGCAGCTGTTTTACATTGTTTGTCTTATCACAAAAGTGGCCTGGTGATTGGACAATGACCAGGTCTCAGTGTTTTGAGGGGCTGGCTGGACAATGACCACATCTCAGTGTTTCAAGGTGGCCCATAATAAAGCCAATAGAACCGAGGGATGAGATCCCACGCCCACAGGAGACTCCTCAGTGTAGCCAGGTACCCCAGCTCTGCAAACAGTTAACCTCAAGAAGGGGAGGAGCACAGATTCTGTTTTCAGTAGAAACGAAAGCACCTCACACCGAGTCTTTGGAATTCGTTTCCAGCAATCTTTAGCAGTTTGATCCAGTTCTGAATAAGTAGTAAGATTCTTTTCTCCAATTCTGGTTAATGTGTATCATTCTGCAAGGACACGCATTGCTCCCTGCCTCCAAACAGTTCCCTGCCTTCTACCACCAGCCCCCTCGTTTACACATTAACTCTTGGTATCATGGTATTCAAGAGGTAAACTAAGGCACTAGATTCCATTCTATTTTCCCAGCACATTCCCCAGCTTTTGTCTAAAATACAAGAGCTCATCTGGTTCCCAAAATGGACCTACAGACCTCTGAGGTAGAAAAGGGCCATAAAATTTTTGTAAGAAAGTATAAATTCCTTATATGCACCAAACTATGATAATAGCTCAAATAAGCCTCATTTATCTTTTCAATTTTACAACAAGACTGCTTTATTGAGTACATAGAAATACAACTGAATTTACAGTAACTTTTGGCTGCCTGTCGCTTTTCTTTTTTTTTAAATATATATCTTTATTGATACCAGAGAGAGGAAGGGAGAGGGAGAGAGAGACAGAACATCAATGATGAGAGAGTCATTGATCGAGCCTGCAACCTGGGCATGTGCCCTGACCGGGAATTGAACCCCAATCGCCTGGATCCTAGGTTGACGCTCAACCGCTGAGCCACGCCCGGCCGGGCTGGCTGTCGCTTTTTTATAAAATATTGTCATCATGGCTTCCAAACTTTTAAAAGTTATAACTCAGCCCCTTTCAGATTAGAAAATATAGGAAACCGCCCTAAGAAAATCCAGGGCTGGGAGAGAACCAGATAATGCAGGAGTAAGAGTCCCTACCTGGAGAGAGCACTTGCATTCTGATGGGATGGGGAGGGGGAGGACCGTGAAGACTTCATTCCTGTAGGTGCAGTTCTCACACTTCAAACACATGATGCTGTAATTGAGCTGCCCCTCAAACAGCCGGGTGACAATGGAGGACTCACTGGCAACTGTCTTCCTGCAGCATCTGGGGATAGGCCGTTTCTCACAGGATCTTCTTCGGTGGCACTAAATCAAGGAACAAATTGGCCCCAAATCAGCTAGTGGCTATCATAGTTTTTAAATAGAATGACTTGATTTTTTTTCTATCAGAATGAGACATTGATGCCAGAAACCATATGGTGGATTCAGTCAATAAATAGAGTGCAATCTTCTTAAAAGCATATATTATTTGTAACTTTTTTCTAAATGTATTGATTCGAGAGAGAGAGATGAAGGAGGGGAGAGAGCGAGAGAGAGACATCAGTTTGCTGTTTCACTTATTTATGCAGCATTGGCTGTTTCTTGCATATGCCCTGACCAGAGATTGAACCTGCAACCTTGGCACATGGGGACCACACTCCAACCAACTGAGCTACCCAGCCAGGGCATGTGTGACTTCTGATAATTCAGTTATTTCCCTCCTTCAGTGAAGCTGAGGAAAGGCAATACCCTGACCTGGTAAAACACACGGCCATGGCTCCATAAGTTGACAGCCTAATGCTAATGTGACCTTGGGTCCCGGAGGCAATTTCCCTGGGAAGAGTTCCTAGTTTAGCTGTCCAACGAGCTTTCAGCCATGCCGGCCCATCTAGAGGTAAAACCAAGGAACGTTATCCCTCTGCCAGTGCCTTCAGGTTATGCTCCTAGCTACTTCTCCTTTTGTTCAAAAACACTTTTTATTTTTATTTTTTAAATTATTTTTATTTCTTAATTTAAAAACTTTAAAAAATTACAGTATTCGTTCAATATTATTTTGTGTTAGTTTCAGGTGTACAGAATAATGATTAGACAATCATATACTTCACAAAGTATTCCCCCTGATATTTCCAGTACCCACCTGGCACCTTACATAATTATTACAATATTACTGACTGTATTCCCTAGGCTGGACTTTATACCCCCGTGACTACTTTGTAACTGCCAGTCTGTACTTCTCAGTTTCTTCACCTTTTTCACCCTGTCCTCCAACCCCCCCTTCCCTCTGGCAACCGTTAGTCTGTTCTCTGTATCTATGAGTCTATCTATTTTGCTTGTTCGTTTATCTTGTTCTTTAGATTCTACAGATAAGTGAAATTACATGGTGTCTGTCCTTCTCTGACTTACTTATTTCACTTAGCATAATACACTCTAGGCTCATCCATGCTGTGCAAATGGGAAGATTTCACTCTTTTTTATAGCTGAGTAATATTCCATTGTATATATGTGCCACAGCTTTCTCATACACTTGTTTATCGATGGGCATTTGGGTTGGTCCCACAGCTTGGCTACTGTAAATAATGCTGCAATAAACATAGGGGTGCATATATTCTTTTGAATTAGTGTTTTGGTTTCTTTCAGATATAAACCTAGGAGTGGAATTTCTGGGTCATAAGGCAGCTCCATTTTTGATTTTTTGAGATAACTTCATACTGTTTTCCATAGTGGCTGCACCGATCTGCATTCCCACCAACAGTGTACTAGGGTTCGCTATTCTCCACACCCTTGTCAGCACATGTCATTTGTTGACTTGTTGATGAAGCCATTCTGACAGGTGCGAGGTGATATCTCATTGTGGTTTTCATTTGCATCTCTCTGATAATTAGTGACATTGAGCATCTTTTCATATGTCTATTGGCCATCCGTATATCCGCTTTGGAAAAGTGTCTATTCAGAGAAAACACTTCCTAAAAAGAGCAAATCTTAAATCTCTAAGGCAGCCTGATTTAACTGGCCTCGAGCCTGACTTGAACCTAGCTCATACTCAGGAGCAGCATGGCTGGGAGCACGCCCTGACTTGCCAGGGACTTTACACACTTGGAAGATGCATTAGCTCTAGTGAGCTCCACTTTGCAGCTGTGCACACCACTCCACCTTGGCTTCCTTCTTTCATCATACCCTGCTTCTCAGGTCTGCTACCCTGACAGGAATTTAATGCCCCTAATTCCAAGTTTGGTCTTGGAAACCAGAACGTTCTTTATTTCAGACTGGCTGACAGTGAGGACCTACATGATTTTACAGACCACTACCCTCCCCTCCGGCTAAAAAAGTCCTACCATGAATATTTTATTGTTGTTGGATAATAAGAAGCTAGGAAAATTCCTGGGGAAATGGAATAGAGGAACTGAGAAAAAAAATTAAACAAGGCCAAACAATTTAGGCAGCTTGTAGCCAGCTTGTGAATCACAAAACTTTGTCGTCCCCAACAAAGGACACTGGAGAGAAAATGGTTAATACCTCTCCTCCCTAACCAGAGAATACATAGCTTAAATTACCCTGGAACTGCTAAGGCAGGAATGGGGAAAGGGGGAGAAAGAGAGGAAAGTTTATCTCACCCAATAAACAAAGAAGTCAGCTGTCTTAGGACTTGCCAAACAAGATGACCAGATGTATGTACAAACATCCCAAGATAAGCCACAACATTGTAGCAGGGGACTTTGAAATCTAGTCTGTTACCCAAGATATCCCACAGGGGAGCTTTGAAACCCATAGGGGGAAGGGTATAAAACCCCTTGAATCCCCACCAGGCACATGCTCAGACTAGCTGGGTGCCCGCTTGTCCTACATGCCAAGTGTGTTTTTAATAAATTTGTTTGCCTTGCTTCATTAATAAATTCACTTGCTTTGCTTCAACCCTGCTGTCTGTCACTTGTCTGAAATCTTTCTTGTGAGACTGGCAAGAACCGAGGAGGGGAGAGTTCTCCCCCTCTGACTCAGGGGGCTGTTCAGCAACATTATTAGGAGTAAAAATGAAAAATGGAACCGATGACTGCAGATGAGAATGGTCAATGGCTATAGTGTGATCTTTTATGCTAAGTATTTCTTGGATGTTAGCCATGAGATAAGCTGGCATCACAAGGACATCGCCTAAAGTCAAGGACATATCTTTGGGGATTGTGGGTTTCCGATCAAGGCTGAAGACAGTGAGTCTTGTAATAAAGGCAAAAACTCTTAGTAAGTGGTGATTTCATGTTTTATTACATGCATGTCCTAACTGAATGAAGAACTCAGGTTAGGCACATTTGGTATGAAGATGAAATTTTGCAGTATATAGACCTGTCCTGTAATCTAATACTGAACTTAATCGTTTCTTGGGTTTGTAAGTTGTAAAGTTCAATATATCTCATGAGGAATAATATATTTTCATAAAAAATGTGATTTTCACTTTTAAAAAATAGTCCATGCAGATGTAATTTGAAAAGGAAACTATTTTAGTGGTTCCCACATGTTCTGATCACTAGAAATACCAACTGGTCTTTCCCAGAAGACAGCTCCAGACATTCTAACTCAATAACACTGCAGTGGGGGCCTTGGAATTGCTGTCATGAAAATCTTCCTAGGTATATAATGAATAAAATAAACTGATGAACAAAAGAGATCCAGAGAAACAGAAGCATGTAACAGACTGATGAATCTGAGAGAGAAGGCAGGGGTGGGGATAGGGTGAGAAGTGGAGGGGAGAGATTAATCAAAGAATTTATATGCATATATGCATAACCCATGGACACAGACAATAGTGTGGAGAAGGCCTGGGGGGGAGCTGAGCAGGGTGAAGGGGGTCAATAAAGGGGACATCTGTAATACTTTCGACAATAAAGATAAATTTTTAAAAATGTAGAAAGAGAAGTTAGAACTCAGGAATTCTTGCCTTACAACTAAATGTATTAATCAGCAAAAGAATATAAAACATTATCAATATAGTACTAAGAAAAAAATCTTCCTAGGTGATTCTGATGATTGGCTAAGTTTGGTAAATACAGACATATTCTAATACTAATTTGAATGTTCTGCTAGCACCTGTGCTTGGCACAGAGTAGGCAATATTGACTGGACAAAGAAATGAAAAATGAAAGTTCCTGATGGGGCTGAAGGTCTATCCTATTTCAAGGCTGTTCATTCTACTTACCTTTTTCAGAGATTCATGAAGTTCATTCAGGACATAAATCAAGAATTCCTGAGCATCCTGTTGTGTCTTTTTCATAAACGCTGGGTAGAGGTTGCCAAGAGCTGACCGAAATATTTCTGGTGACACACAGTCTGAGTCTCCAAGCCACATGTCTGTCATCACGTAGGCAAAAGCGGTGGCCACCTTACTGCAGTCCCTGGGAAGAAGGAAGGGGAATGTTTCTGGCTGCTTTAATGAAAGAGGGCACCTAAACACTCAAGCATGTGGCCACTAGACCACAAACGAAGCCTCATTAATTTCTTGGTTGACCTTCCCACTTTACTCACCCTAGAAATGGTATGTGGGGCGCTGCAGCCTCTCCTGACTTGTTTAGCCCTTAGTAGGGATTCCAGAAGGTTCCTTCCCTAACTTCGCCTTGGGGGGAGCAGGGAGAAGGGACTGGACTGCAGGGAACACAAACAGTCTTACTTTTGAAGAGCGGTGATGTACTTTCCGGAGAGAAAGTATTCCACCAGCGGCGAGATGCTGCACAGACACTGTAAGATGGCATTCATGTAGCACGTGTTGCCCAGGTTCCGCAGGCCAGTCACACCCTGAAAATGGGGCTGGTTCTCGTCAGCCCTGTTAACCGGACAGGCGCCACAGTGATCTGCACACTCGGCACTGTTGGTGCCACGTGGAAAGAAACAAAATACGTACAAATGACAATAAGTCTCTCTCGACCTCATGACTCAAAGATGAACTCCTATTTTTTAATCCTCACCTGAGGTAAGTTTATTGACTTACCCTCAATAAGGGTAAGTCACTCCCTCTGGAGAGAGAGGGAGTGAGAGAAAAACATCAATGTGAGAGAGAAACATCGGCCGGTTGCCTCCTGTATGCCCAGACCAGGAATTGAACCTGCAGCCTTTTGGCATACAGGCTGATGCTCCAACCAGCTGAGACACCCGGCCAGGGCAAGAAGAGATCTTAAAAAAGCTTCTGTCAAATTCCCTCACAAGGACAGAAGTATTCAAACTTGGAGTCTAAAATTGCATTGCTTAGTCCAGAACTCTTTGAACAGTGCCTGCAGATAAATAAGCAGACAAAAATGTCTCCCTATAACCAAAGCAGGAGGACAGAACATATTGTCCTTTCAGAATCCTAGAATTGCTTGGCTAAAAATGAAAATTATCCCTCTAAATATCAAAATGTTGCCCTTTTTTGTGGGGCAAGTAATTTATTATTAGTAGTGATATAATATAGTATTTAATAATAGCAATAGCTGTCATGAATTGAGCCTGGCACTACGTTAAGTACTCAACACGTATTTTCCCATTTAATTCTTTCAACATTTCTATAGAGTAGGCACAGTTATTTTAAAATTCTGTGTTATAGATGAGGTATCATGTTTAAGGGGCTTAGTCATTTGCCCATGGCAGTATATTGAGGGATGTGCAGTGAGATGTAGAGAGAAGGGACGCTTACCTACCTACCTACCATGTGTCTACCAAGAGTTATTTGGAGTTGGACAAGGCGGCGGCGTAGGGAACAGCTGCACCCGCCGCCTCCCGCAACCACATCAAAATCACAACTAAAATACAGAACCACCGTCACTCAGAGCCCCCTGAAATCTGGCTGAACAGAAGCCCCACAACCAGGGACCTGAAGAAACACCAAGACCGGTAGGAGGGGCGCAGACGCGGGCAAATGGGGGCTAAATCCCAGAGCCACGGTCACAGGCCCACACCCGGTGCCGCAGTGAAACCCGGGTGGGAATCTTGGTGGTGGAGGTTTCCCGGAGGAGGGAGGGGTCCCAGCCCCACAGCAGGCCCCCAGCCCAGGGCTCCAGGGCCAGGAAGAGACGGCCCCACAACTCCGGGCTGTGAAACCAGCGGGGACTGTCCCTGAGGGCCTCGGAGGCTGCGGGAGCCCCAGCAGCTCCTCTAAAGGGCCCGCACACGGACTCACTCGGACGCTCCCTCTGAGCCCAGCGCCGGGCAGCAGCTGAAAGGACCCGGGACACTCGGGGAGGAACTAACCTGCCTGAGATCCGGGCAAAGGGTAGAGGAGCGGCTTCCTCCCAGGCAGAAGGGCTGGCGGAGGCCCTGGCTCCTTTGGTGAGTCCTCCAGGCACACAGCCAGCACCTGAATCCCCAGTGCCTGACTCACACCTTTGGCCCCGCCCCGTGATTCCCGGAGGCCCCGCCCCTCCCCACCTGCAGCTCCTCCAGGCCATTTCCAGGGGCTTTTCTATGCAAATAGCCTCTCGAGCTTCACGCTTAGGACTTTCCTAAAATCTCTCAAACAAGCAGCAGTGGGCCCCATACGGCTTGATAAGCGGCCCCAGGCCTGGCACTAGCGGCAGCCCGC